GACGACAACAGCTCTCCCGAAGCACAAGCAGATATCGGCCTTATGTCATGTACCAGGTATGTCTCTCTTATCACACACAACATCGTCTCCCCAATACACAGATGCCATATGCACACACGCAGGGCTCTTCCTCTTTCGCTCACACACACACACACACACACACACACACACACACACACACACACACACACACACACACACACACACACACACACACACACGCGCACACAGACACGCCCATTTGCACTCCTCTGGATAATTCGAAACGTAGAACATTGACAATACATTGCACTGTCGTATGCAGTATCATGAGCCTCAGTCTATTTCTTACTACGACATAGTATCCAGACGACTGCAAATCCATGTGTATGCAGTATGGTGTGTATGTGTGTCTTTAGGGTAATCTGGAAGTTGGAATGTGAGCGAAACGGCGGTGTAGGGTCCCTAGATGAGAGTTGCGATGCATGGGCGCTGATATCCCATAGCCATTTGAAGCGAGCTTGTATCTGAACTGTGTTCTTGGTTTCCATATCCCTGAGATGTAAGTTGGGCGCTACGTACCAGCGTGAATTACCATCTGTTCGTTCGTTTGCGAAGTGAAGAAATATGCCATTTTTGGTTACATAGTAGTAATAAATAATAATAGTAATAATAATAATAATAATAATAATAATAATAATAATAATAATAATAATAATAATAAAAATGCAAGGGACTTGAATGTGGACGAAGCACAGAAATCCAAACCGCAGAATCATACTGAAGTCCAAGTAGTCAGAGCAAGAGCAGATAGCGCAATGGAATCGAGTATCCATCCATTTGAGAATGATACAGAAGAATCGTGAGTAAGTATTCAAGCCCAACAGGGCAACACCAACAGCATAACCCAATGTAGCTCTCTCTTGTGAATGGAGCCAGGCGTCCTATCTACTCTTACAGACTAAGCCTACAACTACAGTAATGAAAGCAACCGGACAACTTGACGACCAGCGAGTGATGATGTCAACACCAATGCCGATCTCCTCACTACCCAGGTACGTCTTTCTCCCCAATTTACAGACGCCACGAACACTCAAAGACCATAGTGTATCTAATAAAAATAATAATAATAATAATAATAATAATAACAATAGTAATAATAACAGTAATAATAATAAAAAAATAATAATGATAGAGCAAGGAAAGAATGCAACAGCGAGATGACAATCCCAGATCACATCGTCATACTGAAAGCCGACTAGTCACACCGTGTCCAAAGAGCAGCAGTGCACCAATACTACTCTAATGGACGTTCGTAGCGCATGAAGAGTACTCTCTCTCCTCTCAACGCGAGAGTCCAGCTCCTTCACACTCACACCTGGCATTCAGTGCCCAGCCTATTCCTACACAGCTACTTCAGGCTACAAAAGATATTGCATCTGTTGACATCAGCGGCGCCCGGAAGTACTCGAAGATGCTGCCCATGCAGACCATCGCCATTCCAAGGTAAGTGCCCCACATCTTCACCATCATCATCATCACCTCTTCACCTATCATCTCCACCTTTCTCCCCTCTCCCTCCTTTTCTCTCTCTTCCTTCTCTCACCCTCTCTTATCCCTCCTTCGAATCTGAGAGCTCGAGCGTTACCAGCAGGGATTCAGGCAGCGGTTATGCCCGGGCGCATTAATCAAGATCCGATCCAGCCTTTTCTGGGACAGACATCGGCAAGGGACTACCACTTTGTTATTGCGATCTTGATCTATTTCCTTTGCCTCCCTTCTCTTCGTCTCGTCCCTCCCCCATCTCTTATCCGTGGTATTCTTCCCATGTACGTGTGCGAGGAAGGGACCTTTCTTTCATGGTTGCGGTTCCTCCTCCCTCTTTCACCCGTGTGACGTGTGATGGATGTTGGCCCTGTCCAGATCAGATCAGATCTTCTTTCTAAGCCTTCCACGGCACCGTTTTGGGCCATCTCGTATGTACTCAGGATGTACATTGCCTGTTGATGCTATGCTGATCTCTCATTGTCTGTTTTCAGTCCCTATTGTCACATAGCGAATCCTTGGCCCCCCTGCGCACTATCCTACTGGACATGTGTCACACAAACAAACACACACACATACACCACTCATGCATCATGGATGATGGGCAGTGGACGTACGGCAGGATCTGAGTATATCGACGAGAGAATGGAAGAAGACAGGCTATGGGACGAACAAACGGCAAGGTTGAGTGGGTAACATCGGCATTCCTCCCTCTCTCCTTTCTCTCTCTCTTTCTTTCCTATCACTCCATCTCCTCTCTCTCTCTTCTCCTACTCTTCGATCTCTCTCATCCCTTTTCTCTCCTCGACCTCTCATTCTCTCCTCCTTCTCCCAAATTTGTCTCACCCTTCTCATTCCTTCTTCCTATCTTGGTTAGGATATATGAAAGATGAGCAATATTGAATCCCAGAAGTCAGAACAGTACTATAGTTACGATCTTGAACCAGCGTAGAAGTTGCATCACAAGTTCCACTGAATAAGAGCATAGCAAGGCTTATCTGTGACAATGGGCTAATAGTCCCACCACCATCAATAATGAACCAATGTCGCTATCCTATCGGGTGCTTGGGATCAGACTACAAGAGGCGGATCCTACCTTAGCCTACTACTATATAATCAAAAAAACAATGACTACAACCGCTCTTCCTAAGTACGAACTTATAGAGGTCAGAGCCACACGCATCAGCACAAGGTAAGTCTTGTGCCTTATTCACAGCCTCATTACCCTTTTGTCGGGCTGCATGCACCTAGATTATCGCATAATAATAATAATAATGATAATAGCGATAATAATAATAATAATAAGTCAATAGTCAATAATAATAAACATAATAATAATAAAATAATAATACTAATAAGAACGATCGGTGGAAAAACTTCAGAGATTAGACAGCATCATATGCATGTGGTCTGAAAGCGGTGCCCCTAAGCAGAAGCATTGCAAGCTTTCGCCACATAAGAGATCAGCAAAAACTCACGATTCATCAACGTGAGTACAGTCTCATCACCATTAATGCAAACCCAACGTTGTCGTCCTACCTGGCACTCATCGCCTAGACTAATGATGGCCGATCTACCTACCTATCTACAGCGCCGCTGATGACGCCAACAGCTCACCGAGTACAAGCAGATCTCGGCCAAAGCCGCGCGTATCTGCCCCAGGTAAGTCTCTTGTTTTACTTACATAGCGGCCACGTGTACCTATTTCTCCCGCTATCTCTCTCCTTTTCTTACCCTTTCCTTCTCTCCCTCTTCTTTTCTCCTTCTTCGATCTTTCTCCTCTCCTTCCCTCTTCTTTACACACACGCTCGCACCCCGTCGCCTACTGTATCAGTGCCAACTAGATCAAGTCCCGACCTCTCCTATAAAGTACGGGATAGCGTATCGGGCGACTTAGATACCAACGATCCAATAGTCAATATTGCAATGCTGCTCCTACTTACATCACTATCGTCCCCTGGTGTGAAGGGGTCTGGCGCTCACACAGGAGGAAATGTGCTAGCCCCGACCATACCCAGACGAGGAAGAGGGAGGTTAGACGAAGAAGAGGGGAAGCTGGGAATGTCGTCAACACCAAGTCTTCGGCACAGGCCCAAATAGTCCCTCGTCAAAACGTCTGTTTCCCAATGTCGAGTCTGGATCCAATGTCGTCAAGTCTCAAATCTCCAATCTTTTCTCTCTCTGTCGTATTCTGCCGACACTGAGAAGTCCGGTGGCGAGAGGGTGAGAAAGAGATGGTGGACTTAGAAGAGGAAGAGAAAAAGACTCTCTCTCTCTCTCTCTCTCTCGTTCTGCCCTCTTGGCCCCTCTGCGCTCCCTCTCGTTATTGAGCGGCCGATCTCTGATCTTGCTCTGCGCGCGCGATCTTGCTGCGGCCTGCTCTTTCCTTGACAAGGGGCCCTCCGTGCTATAGGTTGATGCCGCACGGTAGGCTGGCCGGGCCTCTTCCTTTCTCCGGCAGCATCAGCCCATCTTCCGGGTGAAGATTCACTTGCGTGAGTCAGGGAAATAGAAGCTACGGGTAAAGGAATTAATCAACAAAAGAAAATAAAATAAAAATGAACGAATTCAAACGATAACTACTACTAACTGCCTAACATGGTGTCTCGTTTCAACGAGGCAACCAACATAACTATCCCATATAGAGAGGTCGCGGGATCGAGTCCCGGCCGTTCAAACCTAGGCAAAACAAAGTTAAAGCTCCCTGTCAAAAGGGAGCTAGCTCAGAAGGCGGTGGGATTGATTCCTTGCATCCACCGCTTGTCAACTGTATCTAAACCAACTGAGCTAGCTCCTATTCTGGTTAAAAAGGGAGCAGCTTAGGTACATATAGAGGCCCGGGGGGGGGGGGGGGGGGGCACTTAGSGGGCCAAGTCTATTTCCAAGTCTGTGTGTGTGCACGCATGTCTGTCTGCATGCCTGTTGGTTTGAGCGTGTGTGTGACCCGCAAGGGCACTCAGTCGCTCAGAAGGCCCGTAGACCCGGTACTTACCTGTAGTTGTGGCCTTGAGGGACACGGCGGGAAAGTTACAAGGCAGCAGGGTAAACCCGCATACTCAGAATGGCGGGGGGGGGGGGGAATATTCAAGTAGCAGGTCGGCTGGTATTTAGCCGTGGCCGCGATATTGATGGTCGTGGCGGGAAAACACTCAAGTGGCGGGTAGGCCGGTACCTCACCAAGTAGAGGTAGATGCGGCGAGCATTCGACTCGAAGGTCGAGTTTAAGAAGAGAAGTTGACACTTTTAGACACCCAGTACCAGTACGTAGATAGGTAGCAACCTACATCTCAGCGTGCGTCGTAGACATACCCGACACAATCACAAACCCACCTGACCCTTCGACCTCTTTCTGTCGAGGGGTATCACTATCGATCCTAATGGCCTTGGCGTGGGTCATAATAACGCTCGTACACTCTTTAACGAAATTTTCTTACCGATTCTTCCCCCGGCCTCAGTGGTCGAGGATTTTGCTTCCAGTGTCACTTCAAGCGTGAACACCCTTCTTGTTCCAGACTGGCTACGTCATGGCGGCTGACGCCACCACCGTGACGAATGCAAAGACATGGCAAAATACCCTTGTAAGGGTATTTTGTCCGACAGCGTGCGGGTGTACCGTGACAGTGAGGCGGTTGGCATAGAAGTGGCGGAAGGAGTCAGTAGGGAAGGGGTTGTGGGGGAAAGAGATTGGGATGGTAATTTGGCGGAGGGTGAGGTAATCAAGGGGACGATAGGATAATGATCGGGGATGAAGCCCGATGCCCCGCATCGACATGTGGATGGGGATCGGGATCGGCTCCATCGCCTGCACGCCGGTGCGCTCGAAGTCTCAGCAGTAGGGTCCCCATCGTCGTTCTTAGGGGGCTCGGGATCCTTGGTCGGGTCGTTCGAGATCGGCAGCTCCACACCATTCACGAACTCCAGCGGCTGCTTTCTGACCGCAATCTCCTCTCGTCTCCGTTCCGCCTCAGGATCCTCCTCCTGAGGCTCTGCGCGATCCGCTTCTTCACCCAGAGCCTCCCACTCAGATTCCTCCTGATCCTCTTCTTCTTCTTCTTCTTCTCCTTCTCCCAATTCCTCCTTGTTGTATTCGTTGTAGCTCCCTGCTTCTTCTGAGATCTCCTCCTCGCTTTCGTCTTCTACCTCCGCTTCCTCCGCCACGGCTCTTTCTTCTACCGCCGTTCGGGACGAAAAGAAGAGGACGTCGATGATCCCTCGGGGGTTCAGGTACTCTGCGCGCGATGGGTAGCTGCCACCTCCCGTACGGTCCTCCAGGCAGGCTGACCACTGTAAGTACGACGTTAATCTCCGCGGAAGGACGTGCGGCACTGGGCTCTCATCACACTGCGATATGATGTCGAGGGGGAGGTCGCCGACGAGCTGCGCAAGAGGGATCGTGAGTTCCCACACGATCGTCTGGCGATGGCCTGGCTCTACTGCTCCGAAGACGAATCCGAGGAGATCTCCCTCCACCTCTATTCCCCAGGCCTGGATGATTAGCAGCTCCATGCTCTCCCTCGCAGCCCGATGCTCACTATCTCGTGTCCACGTCAGCTCCACTTCGACCAGGCACAGAGAAAGAGTGAGGTAGTGCTCACACCAGATCTCCCAGTGCCTTGGATCGATGAGGGGAATGGCGAGGGGCTTTAAGCAGAAGGCGAGGCGGGGATAGAGACTAGATTGCCAGAAGGTAGGAAAGAGAGAGGGAAGAGTGAAGGTCGAGATCTGAGACCGGTTCATTGAGGACGCCGAAAAGGAATGAGTTCTGGAATCACCACCGCTGGCTCGCGTCGGGACGTGCGAAGCCCGTCGATGTCAATACTGTCGGTAACGACAAGATTGTCTCCGTGCCGCGCAAGCCACTGGTGCCACTCCGCCGCCAGCTGCTCGCCCCACTTCCTCAGTGATACCCGGATGACCGTATGCTGTAGCGGATCCACCGTACTGATATCTCCGCTGAAGACAACGATGGTGGACACGTGGCCGACTCCCTGTATTGAAAGTCATCGATACGCCGATGCCTCGGCCCATACGAGTGCTTGGCTATGAGCCGCAAAATGAAATTTCATCGCCACGTACACTCCCGTGGTGCTGAAGAACTGCGCGAAGCGTAGAGAATCCGGACTGATCCGCGGGTGATGGACTTGTCTGATCGCCGAAATGTCATCGCGTGGCGCCAGTCAGGTGCTCGTCGAGAACTCGTTTGGTGAGAAAACTCATGGCGATGGTGATGGGGACGGAGTATCAAGAAAAACAAAACACAACTATAGAACATGCAAGAGGGAGCAAGGGTGTCCAGGTGGAACAAAGGATTTTTACTTCTTCCCAAAGCTCCTGCACACAAGCTGGATTCACCGATTTTTCTCCCTATCTCCCTGTCCTAAAAGAGCTCGGATACTCAAGGCAGTCACCCATGCTTCCTACGCCTGGATATACATGCAGGGATACGGTTGATGGGACACACCATCAACGACGCTGACGGGGGGGTTCCCCCACGTAGTTATGTGTAACGTTACGTCATGTGTACGAAGCATCATGTCGTAGAGTGGTACAAGATTCATACCACCATTTATCCCCGAAATAATGTTTCGGCGTATCCCCGTAAAGCTTGTCAGGCGGACACAGGATTTACCCATGCCTTTTCTTCTCCACTTCTAAGGGAAATCCATGGGATTCTCATGGTGACTCAACCAGCAAATTTGCGCACACTTTTCTGACCAAGAGGTACATTCTCTATGGACAACATTGATAGGCATGAGGAGAGGGAATGATTCCAAGAATATGGAGAGAGCTAGAAATATATTCAATCATCAGGGAGTAATCATATATTAAGATGCGCAGAAAGGATATAACTTGAAGGAAAGAATCATCAAACACGAGCAAGTGGGGGAAACGGGTTCGTAGGGGGTTCTTTAATTATTGAAGCGTGGGCACGAGCATCGGTAGCTAGAGGCGTCGTGAGAATCCTGAAGCTGCAAATGCTCGTACGAATATTGGAAAAGAAAGGAGATCCGAAGTATTGCGTAAGAAAGAGTCATTTGTGGATCACCGAGAAATATGTATATATGCTTAAGCTTCTGAATATGGGGAGCATACGAGTGGAAGAGGGTGGCAGAGTAGGGGTCATTCGATAGATGCATACATGTGTTTTATGAGAGAGGTAACGAGGGACGGTTGATAATTGCGTCTCGTCCTTGGATTGGACTAATGCGCCTTAGCTATGGTCTATCGTATTCCTTGTATAACCATCTCAAAAGCTAGTGTTGCAATGGATCTACATAGATCGAAGGGCAGAAACGAGTATGGGTAGCTGGAGGCATCGTGAGAACCTGACGCTACAAATGCTCGTAACTTGCTCCAACAGAAAAAGTCGAAACAACAGCAAAAACAGAAAAAAATGGAAAGAAGGAATTCTGAAGTATCATGCATGTCCTAAACTAATGGAAGAACCATCCATGGATTGTCGAAGAGCATTAACTATCTATAAACAAGATTCTGATTACTGAGAGGGAGAGAGTGGAAGTCGTGCATATATGTGTCTCGTAAGAGAGGTAACGAGGGACAGTAGATAGGTGCATCTTGTCCTCGGATCGGACTAGTGCGCCTAGCTACGGTCCGTCGTCTCCCTTGTATAAACATACCCCAAAGCGAGTAGGAAGGATTACAAGAGGTCCCATAAGGATTGAGGTGCAGAAGTAACGCAACATCGGAGAAGGGAGGAAAAGAGGGGAAAAAATACGAAGGGAATACAAAAAAATGATGCGAAGTATTACACTCGTCCGAACGTATGAGAGAGTCATCCATGGATTGCTTCAGATTTGTAAGCACGAGAACAGTGAAGGGAGGATTACGAGAGGGATCGGGGAGGGGCGAGGGAGTGAGCGCATCATGCGATAGAGAGATGACGAGGCAAGCCACTCATGTATGAAAAAATCCAAATTCTGAGAAGGAACCTCTTAATTGGTCGTCGAGCCGAAGCCAATCCAAATTACACCAACAAGACAAAATGCGCGAATTAGCGGAAGCGAGAAATGGGAAATGACCAGCTGTATCCCCAGAGGCGGATCCACATAATGTGGGAGTACGCCTCGACAACCAAAGCAGGGAGGGTAGTGGCGATCCCTAAAGCGCTTTTCTGACGTTAGCCACCAGTGCACAGCTTCATCAGAGGGTAGTCCTCTGCTTGGTTACATACGTTTCGGTAGCGGGAAGCGAGGGAGGGGGTGGCAGCGTCTGCAGATGGTGCAGGAAGGCTAAAAGGGCGAGGAAAGCGAGCAGAGTTATGAACGCAAGGAGTACAAAGGCCGATATCTCAATGGCAACCGCAACCCTTCCTTTCGTATCTTCTTTTTTGAGTGTCATGGCAAGTAGTGCCAGTACCTTCGAAAGGAGGATACATACTAGATCGCAGGGGAAGACGATGAGCGCGCGCATACTTAGCGTCATGCATGCAAGAGGGTTTATGCTTGCAACAGAGCTGGGCACCGGGCGCCCAGAGCCGCACCAACCTGCACCCACCCGACCCACAGGGTGATGGGTCGGATTTAGGTCTACATTAGCTGTCTTGGGTAGGTTATGGGCGGGCGTAGCCAGCATGCGTTTTTGGGTGAGGGGCGGGTGAAGATTTGACCTGGGTCACCCGCTGGGTGGGTGGCAGGCGGGTGATGGCTTGGCCTGGGTCACCCGACCCATAGACCCAGGATGACCCAAAAATTATGCAACCTCCTCCCCCCCCCCTCCTTGTGTAGTACGTCGGGCTTGAGGTTGAGGGCAAAAAAAAAAAGCGTCTGATTCAGTTGACCAGGTCCTGATGAAGTAACGCCAGTGCGGAAGCACTGCGGCTGCCCCTGGGCAAAAAAAAAAATCTTGAAATATTTTCCTTTGAGAAGTCCGAGTCGCATTGTTGATGTTGCCGTTGTTTTAATAATAGGATTTTAGATGTCTTTGTTGCAATGCTATGTTGTCGATGAAATCGTGATGGTGTAAGGGATTGGCATGGGCAGGCACGGGCTGATGCGGGTGGGTGCGGGTGAAGAAAATTTAGGTATTGGACACATGCGGGTGATGATACTCTTACGGGTGCGGGCGGGTGTGGGTGAGGGTTTTTTTCGGGTCTCGGGCGGATTGGGCGTGGGGCTGAAATTTCAAAAAATATTTTGGGTGGGTGGGGTTGTCTAAAAGTAAAAAATAAAATTCTTGGACCGGGTGGATGAGGAAAAAAAAAATTTGGGCGGGTTGGGTCGAGGGTGAGGAAATTTTTTTTTTGCCCACCTCTGGCTTGCAAGAAGAGCGGGGCGCTAGAATTTAGACAAACATCTGCAGGAATAAGCAAAGGTTGTCTGTATCCCGAAGGGTCGTCAAGTCTGGCTTCGGAGTAGAGAGGGCGAAAGCAAAAGCGCGTCCATAAGCGGGGGAGCAGAATGTTATACCACATCCTCGAGATTGCCGATCAGCAGGTCCACCATAGCCGGGTCCACCTCGTATTCCATGACTCCTGTTGCTGTAGCCCGCAAGTACCGCGGTATCTGAAATCGTCTCCGAAAACTCTGAGCGATGCAACCAGAACCGCACCGTACTGAAAAGGTCGTTCGTCTGAGGATGAGAGATGACGGTTGTTCCCCTGTCTAAAATAGTCCCTACGACTCGTCGTTTGTCTCGGTCCTACTAGAGTGTGACAGTGAAAAAAAAGAAAAAAA